CCCAAACATTTGGGACCCCCCCAAACCCTTGTGTGTCCCCCCCCCAGCCTCCACCCTGGGCTCCCCCTCTTGGCCACGGCCTCGGGGCAGCGGCTCTTCCCGGCGCCCTGGGCCGGGGATGGTGACAGTGACGGGGACCCCGAGGGCACCGAGGACGGGCCACCCCCGGGGGGGGACAATCGGCTGCAGCTCTGGTGGTGGGGACCCGACCCCCCCGGGGACAGCGGCTGGGACACCCCTGAGGACACGGTGACCGTGGAGACCGACTGTCACCCCCCTGGGGACACCGAGTGTCACCTCCCCGGGGACAGCGGCTGGGACACCCCCGGGGGCACCCCCGGGGACAGCGGGACCTCTGGTTGTCACCCCCTTGGGGACACCCGGTGTCACCTCACCGGGGACAACGGCTGGGACACCCCTGAGGACACGGTGACCGTGGAGACCGACTGTCACCCCCCTGGGGACACCGAGTGTCACTTCACCGGGGACAACGGCTGTGACACCCCCGGGGACAGCAGGACCTCTGATTGTCACCCCCCTGAGGACAGCGAGTGTCACCTCACCGGGGACAGCGGCTGGGACACCCCCGGGGACACCGGGACCTTTGGGGACAGTGAGTGTCACATCCCCCAGGGACACCAGGACCTCTGATTGTCACCCCTTTGGGGACAGTGAGTGTCACCTCCCCGAGGACACCGAGTGTCACCTCTCTGGGGACAACGGCTGTGACACCCCCGGGGACACCGGGACCTCTGATTGTCACCCCTTTGGGGACACCGAGTGTCACACACCCTGGGGACACGGGGACCTCTGATTGTCACCTCCCCGAGGACAGCGAGTGTCACCTCTCTGGGGACAACAGCTGTGACATCCCGGGGACAGCAGGACCTCTGATTGTCACCCCTTTGGGGTCAGTGAGTGTCACATCCCCCAGGGACACCGAGACCTCTGATTGTCACCCCTTTGGGGACACCGAGTGTCACCTCACCGGGGACAGTGAGTGTCACCTCACCAGGGACAACGGCTGGGACACCCCCGGGGACACGGTGACCGTGGAGACCGACTGTCACCCCCCTGGGGACACCGAGTGTCACCTCCCTGGGGACAACGGCTGTGACACCCCCGGGGACACCGGGACCTTTGGGGACAGTGAGTGTCACACACCCCAGGGACACCGGGATGTCTGATTATCACCCTCCTGGGGACACTGAGTGTCACCTCTCTGGGGACAGCGGCTGTGACACCCCCGGGGGCACCGGGGACATGGACACCAACTGTCACCCCCCCGGGGGCACCGATTGTCCCCCCCCCGTGGTGACACCCCTCTGGGTGACACCCCTGGGGACAACGGCTGGGGCGCCCCTGAGGACACTGGGACCTCTAATTGTCACCCCCCTGGGGACACGGTGACCACGGAGACCGACTGTCACCCCCCGGGGGTGTCACCTCGCTGGGGACAACGGCTGTGACACCCCCGAGGTCAGCGGGAAGGTGAGCACCGACTGTCACCCCCCCGGGGACAGCGATTGTCACCCCCCCGATGGCACCGAGGGTCACCTTTGTGGGGACAACGGCTGGGACCCCCCCCGGGGACATGGGATGAGTGTCACCACCCCCTCCTGAGGACACCGAGGGTCACCTTTGTGGGGACAGGGACACCAGGACTGTGTGATGACTGTCACCCCCCCGGGGACATCGTGTGACACCCCGGGGACACCAGTTGGGACACCCCTGACCCCCCCCCAGGGACACTGATGGGGACACCCCCGGGGACCCCGATTGTCACCCCTTGGGGACACCGGGACTGACCCCTTGGGGGTCACAGCTCCCCGTGGGGACCCCCGATTGTCACCCCATGACACCCTGAGGACACCGGGACTGACCCCTTGGGGGTCACAGCTCCCCGTGGGGACCCCGACTGTCACCCCGTGACACCCTGGGGACACCAGGACTGACCCCTTGGGGGTCGCAGCTCCCCCCACGCCCCCCCGGGGACCCCGATTGTCACCCCCAGGGTCTGGTTGTACTAAAGACGTCCTGACTGTCGCCGTCTGTCACCCGCGTGGGCCGTCACGGGTGGGGGTCCCTGACCCCCCCAATTCCCTCCTTACACCCCCCAAAACCCTCCCGACCCCCCAAAATCTCCCCCACCCCCTCAGCGGTCCCCACCCCTTCTGTTCGGGCATTGCCCCTTTAAGAGCCCCCCCCCCCGGGCAAAGGCGGGGCTGTTTCTGAGCGGCTTCACCCGTTACCATGGCAACGGCAGGGCCGTGACGTCATCACGAGGGCCTTAAATGGGGCCCTGCTCTGTGGGCGTGGCCAGACTCCCTCCCTTTCTAAGGACCACGCCCACTTTTCCAGTGCATCCCTCCTGCCTGCTTTGACCACGCCCTCAAGCTCAAAGCCACGCCCACCCCTGCCCAAGCCACGCCCCTCACAAAGCCAGCCGGGCCTGCTCCAGACCCCACCCCTGTATTTTAACATCCTATGTCACGCCCCCTCATTTACATAAACCACGCCCCTCTGTGACCACACCCCCATGACCACGCCCCTTCCACTCCTGCACCCCCATGTCCAAACCACGCCCTTTTTAGTGACCACACCCCTCATTTACCACCAAACCACGCCCCTTTTGATACCCACGCCCCTCATTAACTTCCCCAAGCCACGCCCACGTGACCGCACTCCTTCATTTAACCCCCAAACCACGCCCTTTTGTGTAACCACGCCCCTCATTTACCCCAATCCACGCCCCTTCCCTTGGCCACACCCCCTTCATTTACACCCCGAAACCACACCCCTTTTACCCCGCACTTCCTTTACCCAAACCCCGCCCCTTTTTGGCAACCACGCCCCTCATTAACTCCCTCAAACCACGCCCCCGCCGCTGACCCCGCCCCTCTCCCGGAGGCCCCGCCCCCACCGCGGTCGCAGCCGGGGCGGCCCCACGGGGACCCGGGTTCGAGTCCGGGCTGGGTTTTTTGGGGGGGGGTGGGATGGGGGGGGCTCGGCCGGGGGTCCGGGCGGTCGCTGGCGCTTCCCGGTGCCCGGGGGTCGCTCCCCCAGCTCGGGGGGCGATGTGGGGCCGGGCCGCCGCGCTGCTCGTGGCCGTGCTGGGCGCGGGGGCCGCGGGACTGAGCCTGGAGCCGGTGGTCTGGCACACCGGGAACCGGCGGTGAGCGGCGGGGGG